ATGAATCCTTCTCAATTTCAGTCCCTCCTTGTTCAAAATATATTTGCCCGAAAGCTATCAAACTCCAAAAACTACAACAGAAGCCACAGCATGAATACATAGCATGCCATGATCTCCTACAGGTGTTACATAGCTGCAGTCTCTGGTGGGTGCAGCATTTCTTCCATGGTTATTTGCAAGGGAGAATATATACCAGCTTAGAGGAATTATATGGACAGAATTCTTTTAAGGAAAGAAAAAAAACGAATAATTCTTATTCCTCCTTCTTCTCTTCAGCAAAGTCCTTAAACTGAGTCTCTGGTGGGTGCAGCATTTCTTCCATGGTTATTTGCAAGGGAGAATATATACCAGCTTAGAGGAATTATATGGACAGAATTCTTTTAAGGAAAGAAAAAAAACGAATAATTCTTATTCCTCCTTCTTCTCTTCAGCAAAGTCCTTAAACTGTTATGAATCTGGGACATCTCAGGTTTGTACCAGTGGCAAATGCTTTTCACAAGAAGAAGAAAATGACATTGGTAAGTGCATCCTGGGAAGGTAAGAATACGTTAATATTTTGCAGATTCCCAAATATCCTTTGCAACCCAAGGCGTTCTGTGACAACCTGTTGACCTCGCCTTGATGCTCAGTATCAATTCACCTTTGGGTGGGTCTTTTTGGCCTGTTTGTATGCCACAGCCATTAAAAATGCCTCTGATAACCCAAGTGATGCTAGTTACGGTTCTACTGCCACTTTCCAGCTGGAAGAATAAGTCAGTAAAACCTGAAGGCAATAAAGCTGTTGAGAAAAACTGGATCTTCATCCAGCAATTGACTACCAACACCCAAGCTCATACCTCAATTTTAGACGTCCTTGTTTACAATCTAATCATGGCATGGGGGCGCAATAAAGCTGTTGAGAAAAACTGGATCTTCATCCAGCAATTGACTACCAACACCCAAGCTCATACCTCAATTTTAGACGTCCTTGTTTACAATCTAATCATGGCATGGGGGCGGCAGGTGTGGATCTCAAAAAATTCATTGGTACTGGCTCTAATGTGTCCTTCTTGACATAGATTCCCATTTGTGCACCGTTAAGGACTTGGGCCAGCGCTTTAGCTTCAAAAATGTACTGTTGCAGGTATTAGTTCTCCACCTTTAGTTTAAAAAAGTACACTTAAAGATGGTTGATGATTTTGAGGCCAGCTGGAAGACAAACTCATGCTCTGCATTTCAATCCAAATTCCTTTGGAACGGAAAACAATCCCAAGCTATTTATGTTCTATCCTGTTCCCCTCTATAACCTATATAATCCAACTTGGTGTTTGGCTTTTTTAGTATCCCTGTAGAGATATAAAGATCTCTCTCAAGATTTTTCAAAATTGAGACCAAACCATTTAATTATGTACTGAAGTAGAGATCTTAGTGCCCTTTTATGCACCATCCATATAAAGTTTTGGGATCGTGTGGTCTTCAATTTGAGGACCATGGAAGGCTGGGTTCTTTAGGATTTCTAACAGAGTCTGTCTGTCTGTCTACCTACCTATCTACAAGCAGAGCTGGAATGAAAATACATCCTGGGCAGACTCCACTCTGTATACAGTATGGATCCT